AGTAGTACTAGTAGTACTAGTAGTACTAGTAGTACTAGTAGTACTAGTAGTACTAGTAGTACTAGTAGTACTAGTAATACTAGTAGTACTAGTAGTAGTAGTAGTAGTAGTAGTAGCAGCAGCAGCAGGAGCACTAGCAACAGCAGCGCGAGCAGCAGTCATAGGAATAGTAATGGCTAAGTGTGCTAGAATGTCTACCTACCAGTAGCAGCAGGGAGTGCGTTGCAAGCTAAATGACGTTGGACTTGTTCTTCCTTAGTACGTGGATTCTTCTGCAAAATTGAGAACATGATCATATGCGGGGTGGTAGCTAGGTTAAGCCTCACAAACCTGAGGTAGGATTTGCGGGGGTTGGAGTCTTGCGATAGTGTAGTTTAGGGTCAGGGTGTCCAGCTTAGGGTTTAGGGTTCAGAATGACTTCATAGGAAAACTCAACGCGTAATAGCTCTGCCAACAATTCTGGTTCTTATAGCAAGGTGAGCAACATCCTATATAACCCCTTAACCCCAACCCAACGCCTAAACCCTAAAAGCAAGTGAACCGTATACCACAAACCCACAAACCCGAAACCCCTAAACCCCTAGAACCCTTAAGCCTAAAGGACCGCCAACTGAAGCATGGACAGGAATCCTCCTGACACCGGGCTTCTTCGGCTAACCTCTCCGTTGTTGGCTCTTCTTTGCTGATCTCCTGCAAAACGGAGGTAATCTACGGAGGATTTAGGGTTTAGGGTTTAGGGTAATCTATGGGCCTTCATAAGTAGAATAGGATTCTGGGGGTATGTATTATGGTACAAGGATAGTAAGCAAGCCTGAGGCATAACATCGGCAAACGTTCAAGTTTTTATAGACAGTATATAGCTTTGAAGCATTGAGATGCTCGTGCTATAATATAGGGGCATAGGGGCCTTAATAATTAGAGTAGGGTTTGGGGGTGTATTAGACTATAAGCATAATAAGGAACGCCCAAAATAGTAAAGATTATTGAAGCCCCTATATTAGTGCTATAGCCGTGGTCGTCGTACCAAATGCAGCCTCCTGGGGTTTAGGGTTTAGGGTTGAGGGCGGCGTGGCATTGGCGGTGGCGGCAGTCGGCTAAATCTAAAAATCCGAAACAAAAACACCAAACCCAGAACCCAAAACGCTGAACCCCTGCACCAGCCCTGGAAAATCTCTCAACAAAAACGCCTAAAACCGAAACCCTCAATCAACCCTAAACCCCAAACTCCAACAATCCCTCATGGTAACCCTCATGGCGTTATATCAATCCTTAACCCTTTTTGTTTAGCAACCATTCAAGGAACCCTATTTAAAACGAACAACTCCGACATCCCGAAAGGAAACTCCGAAGGGTCCTCCTTGGCGGAAACTGGCTCGGTCGACTTCTCGGCAGCCTCTACTGGGCTTTTGTTAAGGAACTTAGTTCAAGTTACGATCATAGGGAGGCAAGGTGGTTCCCAGATCATGGCAACTTAAACTAGATGGGTACGTAGTTCACTACATTAGGGTCCATTTCCGGGCCCTTTCTCAGAACTACCCAAAGTCCTCAAGAAGAACCCAGTCTTCTTAGGTCACTGGGGTTTTCGAGGGCTGTGGATGGCGCACAGCTGTGGCTTTAGGCTTCGTAACTATACGAGTACTGTAGCGGTTTAAGGCTTCGGGACGTTTTGGTTCGACCGGGTTCAGGGGTTAAGGGTTGAGGGTTTAGGGTTCAGGGGTTTAGGGTTCAGCGGCTTAGCGTATAAGGTTCAGCGGTTTAGGGTTTACGGCTTAAGGTTCAGCGGTTTAGGGTTTAGGGCTCAGCACTTGGGGTGTACAGGATTTACGGCTCCGGGTTTTAGGGTTCAAGGCTTGGTGTGATAGATGCTGTCGAGGAGTTTTAGGGTTTAGGGTTTAGGGTTTAGGGTTTAGGGTTTTATCTTGTGAAGCTCACAGTTTACCTGCGTAAGGTTGCAGCATCTTGCCCCGATGTTCCGTAAGACTCTGCCTGAAACTTCGGGAGTGGAGAGGCAGGGTTCAGGGTTAAGGGTTGTAGGGTTTATGGTTTAGGATTTAGGGTTTCGGGTTTTAAGGTTTAGGGTTTAGGGTTTAGGGTTTAGGGTTTAGGGTTTAGGGTTTAGGGTTTAGGGGTTAGGGTTTTAGGGTTTATGGCTTAGGGTACAGGTAAGGACCTGAGTTTCCGGGTACAGGGCTTACGGAATGCGCGCAGCCGGGGCAGCAGCAGACTCGTAAAACCTTTTACGCTTTCGAGGCCCTGTAAGCATTTTTTCGTTAGACTCTTGTTCAAGACCCCAATCCCAGCTGCGCATTTCAAGCGACCCTCACAAGCTGTGCTGAAGTGTGCCTGGCCACCCTGATGCCGCCCCGAACTCCCAACCCTCCAAACCTCGCATCCGAAATCCAAAGCCGCTGAAACCCACTAGCAGTACGAACGAATTTTCTCCTATGCATCGATCATTGCACAGATGAGGTGGTGAGGAGGCCGTCCTCTCGTGCCTCCGCGGCCTCCTTTACCTCTTCTCGCTTTTCCTGCTTCTCCTCGAGCGGTCGTTCCTCCGCTTCCTGGTGCTTGGGGCCACTGGGATTCGGGATGGCCTCACTGGGCTGTATTCTGAGAACAAAAACTGTATCTATCTATCTATCTATCTATCTATCTATATATATATATATATATATATTATGTATGTGTATACGGGTATGTCTATCGACATATACATATACACATACATATACTCATATTTGTATATGAAATCGTTCTCATACGAACAATGCTAAGGAGAGAAATGTTGAGGATGATAATCTTGAAGATAATAATGATAACAAGAATGGTAATAACAACGATAATGGTACTGATGCTAATGCTGATAAAAAAAGAGTTATAACAAAGTCGGAAGTTGTGGAACGATTTAGGATGGAGTCTGATAAGCCCAGTCAGTCCTCCTTGACCTCTGCAGGGTCTTGGTGAACAGCCTGCTCTTCCTGCACCAAAGCTTCACCGCTTAAGTGAGGATCCTGTTGGGATTTAAAGCTTATGGTTTAGGGCTTAACAATAATCAGGGACGTCAGAGCGGTTTTTTCTACATGGTGGCTCAGTTTTCTGCGCACCTCACTAGAAGTTCTTTGACGAGTGGCCTGCTAGATTTGCTCATTTGCTTGTGAATATGGGTGGTTCTCTAAATGAGGGTCCCTCTTTAGGCACACAAAAATAGTACGGAAACCTCATAGAAAGGAACGGACAAGGGACCCCTCTAATTTGGAGAACTATCCATCTCGGCCTTGATCGTGAAGTCAGTTACCTTGCAACACTGTTCCTGTTGGTTCGAAATGCATTGCTGACAACATTGAGAATCATGAAGTATCAGGGCTTACTTGCAGCATGGTGGTACTTAGCTGGTCCTGCACTCCCCAACATCTATGTAGTTCGGCCTTTGCTTTTGTGTGCCTATTCAAACGACCCCGAAAGCCAAACATCAGCAATAATAACAATATAGCTGCTACTGAGTCTACTGAGCAAAAACCAGTACGACTATGAATGCGACGACGGCGACAACCACTACCACCACCGCGAGAAAGGACCCGTGCTCCTTGCTGTACTATATACGGCCAGTAACTCTACCCGCTCTTTTACGATAAAGCCCGTCTAAATAGGGGCTCGTAGCCTAGAATGTTATAGTGTGGGGTTACAGGTAGGCCTCAGGGTTTAATGGTTTACTGTGTGAGGCTTCAAGGTCGAGCCCGTACAAGATGTTATGTCGGGGACTATAGATTATAGGGTTTGTTGGCCTTTTGTAGTGTTTTCGACGCAACTAATTACTCACTGTAAAACCCAATACGACTCTGTCGTTTCAACACCAGATGAAACCCCTAAATCTCAGCCTTGAAACCGTTTCTGCTCAAACCCCATGACCCGCAAGCAAACCCGCAGAAAAATGCCCATTGTCTTCACCCCTTCAACCATCTGCGAGGGCTCGGTCCAGGCCCAAAAAACCTGAAAATCCTCAGCAAGCCCTGAAAACCAAAACCCCGGAATCCCAAACGCTAAACCCGAGATCCGCCCTCAGCCCTCAACAAAAACTTAGCTCCGGTCCTTGACCTTCTGGCGCTGCTGCTCGAGCTCGGCCTCATCCCCAGCCGGCTCCTGAATCCAACTCAACCCGATACCCTCAACCCCTAAAGCCCTAAACCCTTAAACCCCTACACCCTAAAACCCCAAAGGAGGAGGGAGTGGTTTTAAGGGGCTTACTCAATGCTTCTTCGGGTTGATAAAGTAGCATCCATGTCTTCCCCCTCAAATCCCCGTGTCTGGGAAGCTCTCGGCAGCCCCTGCAGTCCTCCTCGGCTTCCGCCTCTTGGGGAACCTCCGGTTTTTAAAAAGGGGTGGGGTTCAGGGTTTAGGGTTTAGGGTTCAGGGTTTAGGGTTTAGGGTTTAGGGTTTAGGGTTTAGGGTTTAGGGTTTAGGGTTTAGGGTGTAGGGGTAGTGTTTAGGGTTTGGGGTCTCGAATCGATTTTGAGGGTTCCAAGATCTACTTGTCGGGCTGTTTTGAGGGTCCCAAAACTTACTTGCCCGGCTTTACGTCAAATTCGGGCGCCCTTCAGTCTTGAAGCTAGCTTTGGGGTATTGATTGATTAGTTGGCTTTAGGGGTTACGCTTGAGTAGTTTGAGCCTGGGCAGTTGCCGAGAGAAGGGATGGGTTTAGGGGTTAGAAATGTCGGCCTTCTTGTCTCAGGATTCATGGTATCGGGGTGTTGGCCTTCTGGGTTCATTAACATGCAGGGTTTCAGGGTTTAGGTTCATTGCTAAAGCTCAGGATGTAGAGTTCAGGGCCTAGGGTAGCTACTATGGGGGCTTTAATGCCTAGAATATTCTTTCGGGCTCCTTTCTAGTTTGCTTATAATAAGGGACCCTACGGAATAATATAGGCACCTCTTTACGCTTCTATAAACCCTAAGCCCTAAAACCGAAACCCTAATCTAGATTAGTAGACCCAACACATCTTGCGACTATTGTCATAGCCTAGCTCGGAGCAGTTGCTCGCGTACGCAGCCTTCGCCATCATGTCGCCGTGGCAGTGGTGGCGGTGGTTGTGACATTGCGGTGGTCGTGGTGGCGGTGATAGTGCTGACGGTGGAGGAGGTGGTGGTGGCGAGTAATTACTGTAATCAGGTACATCAGACTTTGTGACAGACAAGCCAAAGAGTACGAGCACAACACCCAAGATAGTAGTAAACTGTCAACCCTTAACCCCTTAACCCTAAACCCCTTAACCCTAAACCCTAAACCCTAAGCCCCTAAATACCCCTAAACCCCGAAACCCCCTAACCCTCAGCCTTAAACACGACGGCGACTAGGGAAGACGACGACTGCCACCGCTACTGCCTAAAAGTAATTCCCAATATAGAAACCCTGCGTTCTACTCTATAGGCACATAGGAGGCTTTGGGAGGGCAGGATGGCGTCGGTGATGACGGCGACTCAGACGGTGAACGAAGATCGCGGCTAGATTAGATCCAAGCCCCAAGCACCCCAAAACACCAAATTCAATCTGCAAGCCCCGAGGCCCAGCAGATTTCGGACTTCCTGCGTAAACCCTAAACCCTAAACCCGAAACCCTAAAAACACTTAACACCCTAAACCCTAAAAACCCTAAACCCTAGAAGCCGGGATGATGCATCCTCGAGCTCTTGCCCAGACACCCGTAGAACCCTGCGAGACTTCACGCAGAACAAATCGAGAGCGACACCCCAACAGTTGAATCCCCAACCCCGTAAAAGCCCCAAACCCCAAACAAAACCCTGGCCCAAACCCTACTGTAGGGGCCTTAAGAATGAAACTAAGGGTTTTGGGGCCCAAGATACCATAGTTGCGAAAAGAAACCACCCAAATAGTATTGGTAATTAAATCGGCCCCGGCATGAGCGCCTCCAGGAGACCCCAAACAGAGTCAGGCTCCTCTGCGGTCGAGCGTGACCTATGGGTCGCGCTAAGGCGGTTTAGGGTCTAGGGTTTAGGGTATAGGGTTGAGGGTCTAGGGTTTAGGGTTTAGGGTTCGTAGAAGTTAGGGGTTTAAGGTTTGCGGCGGCCCGAAACCCTAAACCCTAAGCCCTGGAGAAAGCCCCTTAAGACGATGGGAAAGATATCCATACTCTCAGCCAACTTCTAATCCTCCAAGCCTCCCAAACCCCTAAACCCGAAACCCTGATGTAGGGGCCTAAAAAATAATGGCGTATATTATTTTTGTTGGGGGGGTTCTTATTATAATCATAGTATAATGGGCCCCAGGCCCCAAAACTCTATTCTAATCATTAAGGCCGCTATATTAAACCCTAAATGGGATAGCTGCTGGAGGGTCTATGTAAGCCCCTCATCCTCCACTTCAGGATCTTGAAATCACCCTCGGCGCATGTACAGGTTTTGGTGTTTGGGGTTTAGGTGCCTAGGAGGGTTTTTTTTACGGCTGCCATGCG